GTTTTCAAAAAGAGGTACAAGACACCAGTAGTACAAGTGAATTATTTTCACATAATAATGGGCCTCTGACACAAACAAATGGAAGAACATACCATGCTCATGGATAGGAAGAATCAATATCGTGAAAATGGCCATACTGCCCAAGGTAATTTTCCCCATCAAGCTACCAATGAGTTTCTTCACAGAATTGGAAAAAACTGCTTTAAAGTTCATATGGAACCAAAAAAGAGCCCGCATCTCCAAGACAATCCTAAGTCAAAAGAACAAAGCTGGAGGCATCACGCTACCTGACTTCAAACTATACTACAAGGCTACAGTAACCAAAACAGCATGGTACTGGTACCAAAACAGAGATATAGACCAATGGAACAGAACAGAGTCCTCAGAAATAATACCACACATCTACAGCCATTTGATCTTTGACAAACCTGAGAGAAACAAGAAATGGGGAAAGGATTCCCTATTTAATAAATGGTGCTGGGAAAATTGGCTAGCCATAAGTAGAAAGCTGAAACTGGATCCTTTCCTTACTCCTTATATGAAAATTAATTCAAGATGGATTAGAGACTTAAATGTTAGACCTAATACCATAAAAATCCTAGAGGAAAACCTAGGTAGTACCATTCAGGACATAGGCATGGGCAAAGACTTCATGTCTAAAACACCAAAAGCAACGGCAGCAAAAGCCAAAATTGACAAATGGGATCTCATTAAACTAAAGAGCTTCTGCACAGCAAAAGAAACTACCATCAGAGTGAACAGGCAACCTACAGAATGGGAGAAAATTTTTGCAATCTACTCATCTGACAAAGGGCTAATATCCAGAACCTACAAAGAACTCAAACAAATTTACAAGAAAAAAACAACCCCATCAAAAAGTGGGCAAAGGATATGAACAGACATTTCTCAAAAGAAGACATTCATACAGCCAACAGACACATGAAAAAATGCTCATCATCACTGGCCATCAGAGAAATGCAAATCAAAACCACAATGAGATACCATCTCACACCAGTTAGAATGGCGATCATTAAAAAGTCAGGAAACAACAGGTGCTGGAGAGGATGTGGAGAAATAGGAACACTTTTACACTGTTGGTGGGATTGTAAACTAGTTCAACCATTATGGAAAACAGTATGGCGATTCCTCAAGGATCTAGAACTAGATGTACCATACGACCCAGCCATCCCATTACTGGGTATATACCCAAAGGATTATAAATTATGCTGCTATAAAGACACATGCACACGTATGTTTATTGCAGCACTATTCACAATAGCAAAGACTTGGAATCAACCCAAATGTCCATCAGTGACAGATTGGATTAAGAAAATGTGGCACATATACACCATGGAATACTATGCAGCCATCAAAAAAGATGAGTTTGTGTCCTTTGTAGGGACATGGATGCAGCTGGAAACCATCATTCTTAGCAAACTATCACAAGAACAGAAAACCAAACACCGCATGTTCTCACTCATAGGTGGGAACTGAACGATGAGATCACTTGGACTCAGGAAGGGGAACATCACACACCGGGGCCTATCATGGGGAGTGGGGAGGGGGGAGGGATTGCATTGGGAGTTATACCTGATGTAAATGACGAGTTGATGGGTACAGCACACCAACATGGCACAAGTATACATATGTAACAAACCTGCATGTTATGCACATGTACCCTACAACTTAAAGTATAATAATAATAAATAAATTTAAAAAAAAAAATGGGCCTCTGGAAATCTCAATAAAAAGAAGTCTATTTAGAGAATATAAGTATATTTAAATTTGTTTAAAGAGGGAAAAAAAACTAATTTGTCTATGTTTGGGAGCAGAAGAAATAAGTAAACTAAAGTAAGTTACTTAAATCAGTTATTTATCCAGGTACTATTCCATCCTCCCACAATTTACTTTTCAATCATACAGATTCCTTTTCTTTTATTCCTAATCTATGATTTTTCTCTATTTGGAGGCTTTATGAAATGTGCTTCCCAAGTTTACTTGCCTTGCATCTGACTGCACATGGCTTTGAAACTTAAGCTCTGAGCCTCAACAGACATTATCAGAATTCTAATGTACACAGATGCGCTTGAATGGGACAAGTCCTTAGAGAACAATGAATCAAGAATACCACTAAGTAGGCAGGGCGCCGTGGCTCACGCCTGTAATCCCAGCACTTTGGGAGGCTGACGCGGGTGGATCAACTGAGCTCAGGAGCTGGAGACCAGCCTGACCAACATGGTGAAACCCCATCTCTACTAAAAATACAAAAACTTAGCCAGGCGTGGTGGCAGGCACCTGTAATCCCAGCTACTCAGGAGGCTGAGGCAGGAGAATCACTTGAAGCCAGGAGGCAGAGGATGCAGTGAGCCGAGCTGAGATTCTGCCATTGCACTCCAGCCAGGGCAACAAGAGCGAAACTCCGTCTCAAAAAATAAAATAAAATAAAATAAATAAGTAACAAGTATATAGTATATCATAATGTTGTGATTCAGCTGAACTTTTTTTTTCCTTTTGGAGATGGAGTCTCACTCTGTTGCCCAGGCTGGAGTACAGTGGCAAAATCTCGACTCACTGCAACCTCCATCTCCTGGGTTCTAGCGATTCTCCTGCCTCAGCTTCCTGAGCAGCTGGGATTACAGGTGCATGCCACCACACGCGGCTAATCTTTGTATTTTTAATAGAGTTGGGATTTCATCATGTTGGCCAGGCTGGTCTCAAACTCCTGATCTCAAGTGATCCACCAGCCTCGGCCTCCCAAAGTGTTTCGACTACAGGTATGAGCCACCACGCCCAGCCCAGCTAAACTTTTAAGGAAACCAGACATACTGTCCAGATTTATGGGGTTTTTTCTGCATATAAAAACGAGCAAATTTAATTCTCTTTTAGGAGAGTCCATGTAATGTTGAAGGGGTAACAGAAGACTCCCAGCTGGGCGCGGTGGCTCAGCCTGTAATCCCAGCACTTTGGGAGGCCAAGGCAGGTGATCACAAGGTCAGGAGTTCAAGATCAGCCTGGCCAACATGGTGAAACCCCGTCTCTACCAAAAATACAAAAATTGGCCAGACGTGGTGGTGGGTGCCTGTAATCCCAGCTACTCGGGGGGGCTGAGGCAGGAGAATCGCTTGAACCCAGGAGGCAGAGGCTGCAGTGAGCCAAGATCGTGCCATTGCACTCCAGCCTGGGCAACAAGAGTGAAACTCTGTCTTAAAAAAAAAAAAAAAAAAAGACTCCTTAGCTTATCAGGCACCAAAGATCAAGAGGAAATCAGGTTGTCCTTTGGAGACATCTACTAAAGAAGGTTTTGCATGTCACTCACAAGTGCTATGTGGACAAAAGCTGAAATAAGGGCAGATTTATCTAGAAATTCCTGAATCGAATGCAACCTACAATAACGGAAAGGGCATGAGTAACAGAAGTAGCATTCATTAAATATTCACTATTTGCTATGTCTTTTACATACATGTCCTGTCTTCTATTTCAATAGTACTCAAATTTTTAGACTCAAACCATGAGAAAATTTCTCAGAATTTCTCCTCCCAACACCATCTTTCTTCAGAGTTAAAGTTATCCGTGGGGATAGAAAAAAACATATGTATGTATGTATGGATGTATGTATGTATACGTATATTGGGGGGAAACCTGCAGAAATAAAAATACAGTAACTTCTACTACCTCTCCAATAACCCACACTTTAAGTGTGACAATACTCAGAATTTAACTCCCAAAAACCTACAATGCATCATGAATACTGAAAGTGTTTTGAACATAGGCTTTTGCTTTGCTAATGTGCATTTAACATCCCAGTCACAAAAGCACATCTTAAAACACACACACACCCCTAGATATAGCAATACTAATATCTACTCCTGAAAATATCCTCGTGACAAACAAATGGAAGAGAAATACTATGATAGAGTAGAATGGAATGATGACAATAATAGAAAGTATGAAGGGAAATTCCAAACATTTGAAATTCTTCTAAAAATAGTCTATTAAATGTCAGTTATCTTGGTTTCCATAGAAATTCACAAGTGTCTGCAAAAAGTAACCTATTCCTACTTTGAAACTTTACGACTGTTCTTGCCAATAACATCACATCCTTATAAACGCCACATTGGGGACACGGGAAAGGAAGCCACATATATCCAAGTGGTATGCAATATGTTCAGAAGACCTCAATAGAAATGAATATTGCTTGCATCATTTAATGTTTGAAGAGGAGCGATAAAGACTATTGTCATTTAAGAGTAGTGAGAAGTACAGGTAGTTCTCACGCTAGGAGGCTAATATGTTACTACTCACTCATTTCAATTCGTTGATCTTTTCTTCCCTGAACGACTATACCTAAATCTGGGATGTGTGTGTGTGTATTTTATCCTACCTTTATTCTGTACCTTAACACATAGATGGGGAAGTAGAGTGGGTTTTATTTTGTTGTTTTAAAATCATCTACAGGCGACATACAGCTTAACTTCACAGGGTTGTTTACCAGCAGGTCAGTGTTCTGAAGAAGCACGCCGTAAAACATGCACAGAATAAGGGTCTATCAAAATAATCGTATATATTATTATTTCGATATATATATGGAAAGATGGGATGGCAAAACATCTTTAACAGAATGGGTAACACTCCTTTCAATCATCAGTAACAAATTCCCACAGGATCTTTATTCCTCGCTATTTGTAAACAAGAGCTGAAGCCAGCCGGGCACCCAGGAGCGTTCCGCGAGGGCCATCTGAGGAGGGGGACCCCCGCCTGGATCCCGCTCCATCCTCGGGCCACGAGGAAGCCCTGTTGGAACTCTTCTGCTCCCGCGTGGAGGCTGGAGTCCACCGTCCCCGCTTAACTACACTGCAGCTACCCGGGATCCTTAAGCCTCCTCCAACTCTGCACTTTGCCAGGCACCCGAAACCCACGGTGGCTGGGCGGCCCTGCTCCCGGCTCTCCGAGCCTGTACCCTCGGGGAGGCCCGGGCCGGAGGCACCCCGCGGGAGGCTTACCGAGCAGCGAGCCTATGAAGATGACGACCTGCACGGTGGTGGTGAACTGGCGGTACAGCTGCGCCTCGCCGAACTTCCCGAGCGCGCTGCGGTTCACGCCAGCAGCCTCGGCGCCGGACGCGTTGTGCGGCTCGCTGGCGTTTGGAGAGATCCAGCTCCCGTTATGTCCCATGGCGAGGCTGAGACTCCGGCTCCGCGCGCCGCCCGCCTCGGAGCCCCGCGCGGAGCCTCTCCTCCTCCGGGTGAGGAGGGACGCGCGGGCGCCTGGTGGAGTCCTGGAGGAGCCGGGGCAGCCGACGGGTCCCCTCACGTCTCCACATCGCCAACCCCGGCGCCCAGGAGGCGGGGAGGGAGGGAGGAGCGGCTGCGCCCCATGCCCACTCCCTCCTGGATCCCCGTCAGCAGCCACATGAAGGCAGCACGGTCAGAGCCCGCCGAGCGTCGTCCGTCCCTCCTCCAGGGTGGTCAGCGTGGCCCAGCCCACTCGGCAGGAATGGAAACACAGAAGGAGGCATTCGATGCTCAAGGAGGGCGCTCTCCGCTCCCGCTGCCTCCTTCAACCGCGGGTCCTCCGCCCCCCGAGGGCTAGGGCATCCCTCTCCAGTCCCCTCGGGCTGACGCACTGGGCCCCTCTCCTCAGCGGGAGGAGAACGTTTGGCCGAAGCTATTTTTCAGTCCTGCTGGCTTCGAAGCTGGATGGCGATGTGAAGCCAACGAAATGCCCACGCCGAGTGGCCGGAGCCACGAGGGGACCCCCGAGTGCCCGACAGCGCCCATGGCTTGGGCGGAAAGCCCTGAGTGCCCACAGCAGCCTGGCCCTGCGCGCCCAGCCTCCCGACAAGACGCCCGTGCTGGGTCCTGCTTCCCAGCCCCTCACTGGGGGCTCCGACCTCCTGCCTCAGCACCGGCAGCGGGGACGCCGTTCCGCAGCGCCTTTTTGCCTCTGCATGGCTGGGCGCCCCCTTTCCTATCCCCCTTCGGGCCCTCGGCCGCTAGAACAGAGCTTGACAGCCAGGCGGGGAAGAGGGAGGACGCCCCCAGCGGGGCAGTGGCACCGTCTGCGCGGCTGCTAGACTCTTGGTGCGCGCCTGGGGCAGCCGGGGACGCGCGGCTGGCGAGGATGGTCACGTGGCACTCGCGGCCCCGCCTCTCGCGCCCAGGCTGCCGCGGGGAGGGCGCCATCTTGGCCCCGCGGAGCGTGACTGTCTCGGCTGGAAGCGTGGGTGGCCGGAGGATCCGTGACTGGCTGTCGTGGACACGCTCGCTACACCTCCCGGAGCTTCGCTCCATTTACTATTAACTGTCGTTACGTCTCTGTATCTCGTCAGCAGGGGCTGCCTGCGGTCTTAGAATTACACGTCCCTGCCACCTGGGCAGGAAGCCCAGTCTCCCGGCCCCTCAGTCAGGCCTTGGGTGTAGCTGGAGCATTTAAGAGAAATGAAATATAGAAACTCAGTGCATGGTTTTCTGGGCCTTTTTATTGAATATCATTTGTAAAATGTACACAATATAACCCAGGCCTAGTGGATTCCAGGACAGAAAAGGTTGGGAGCTGGGATAGTCAAGTAAACAAGAAGAAATAGTAAAGTAAGAGATGCCAAGTGGGAGAGGAAACTGTATGGATGCAGAGAGAGGATCTGGGGTAAAGAGAAAAAAGATGCATGGTCGACTTTATGGAAACTCATTTCTTTTTAATAAGTGAAGTACATGGTAGAAGACTTTGACATGTTGATTATGGGACTGGGACAAAGGACAGTAACTCAAGAATTGATTAAAATTACAGTTATTCCTTGGTTGCCCCAAGGATGGTCCTGGTATAATATGGCTATTTCCTTTTCACTGGTAACCCTTATTTACTCTTGAAAGGGTAAAAAAATCCGTGTCTTGTACATATTTGGAGTCTCACAATATCTTCACATAGTAATCTATGTGAGAATTATTTTAAACATTTTGGAGACCGAAAAGGGGAGAGAGAAAAAGACAGAAAATTACTAATTACACTAATTGTATTTTTCCCCCAAGAACGCCATTACCAGTGGTTAACATTGGTTCCAAGAGTCCAAATATAGTTTTCAAGATGAAACCCTTTACACTATAATCATTAGAAACCAAAAATTATAATAATTCACCAACATCCAGCATACTCATTGAGGAAGGGTTGAAGAATGTGTGTAAATAGAGTTGCTTGATAACAGTTATAAAAATACTCCTTTACCTACCTTCACCCTCCATCCCGAATTCAAAACTAGTAAGAGTTGGGATAAAGGTATAGAAAAGAATCAGTTTTGCAGGTGTAAAGAATGGAGAAAGCAAGAAACCACTCTCATGTTTTCATTCTGAGAAGATATCGCTAAATGCTCAACAACCCCTCAATTGGTGTTAGGGTATATGGTTAGTAGAATCAAGAAATAACCCAATCAGCTGAGATCACCATGATTCTCAGACTTGAGAAAGGATTGCCTCTCAAAAATGAAGGGCTAAGGACAGGAACAGAGAGTAGCACAATTCTTAATAGTTGTATGCTGTGTGAGTTTTTTTTAAGGATGAGTCAGAAGATCTTAAAATTGGTGATGTCAAAGATTGGACACAATTTAAATATGTATTAAATGTCTATAGTAGTGTTTTTTATAACTGTCTGGTCATCTACCAGTGCACAACAAACCGTTACAAATTTAGTGGCTTAGAGCATGACTCCACAAGTGTAGCTCAGAGTTGCTGCCTGGGTCTGGGATCTGAAGGCTTGTTCACTCACATGTCTGGCAGTGGATGTTGGCTATTGACTGGGAACTCAGCTGGAACATCTGTGTGTGGCCTCTCCATGTGGCTGTTTGGTTTCCTCACAGCCTGGCAGTTATGCTCCAAAAGTGAGCATGCCAAGAGAGACAAGAGTCCCAAGAGGACAAGGCAGAAGCTGCACTGATACTTTTTTCTCTCTCTCTCTCTTTTTAGGTTAGCCAAGTGAAGCAGTGGTAGTGGAGAAGGAACAAAGAAATCTGTAAAGTAGTTGTGATCAATTAGTTGTAAACACCACTGCACTCAGACTCAGACGAGCTTGCACTGACTTTTATGACCTAATCTCAGAGGTTGTACAGTGTCACTGCCACTGTCCTCTACTTGTTGAAGCAGCTACAAACACACCATATTTAAGTAAAGGGGACACTAATCGGGAGGAGTGTTAGTCACATTATAAGAAGAGCATGTGGAATGAGAGATAGTAGAGATACTGCAGTCATTTAAGGAAAATATAACCTCCCATAATGTTAAGATATATTTTCCTTTTGTAAAAAAAAGAAAAAAAAAAAATGTACCATTTCAGGCCGGGCGTGTTGGCTCACACCTGTAATCTTAGCATTTTGGGAGGCTGAGGCCGGTGGATCACCTGAGGTCAGGAATTGGAGACCAGCCTGGCCAACATGGCGAAACCTCGTCTCTGCTAAAAATACAAAAATTAGCCGGGTGTGGTGGCAGGCGCCTATAATCCCAGCTACTTGGAAGGCTGAGGCAGGAGAATCACTTGAACCCAGGGGCAGAGGTTGCAGTGAGCCAATATTGCCATTGCACTCCAGCCTGGGCAACAGAGTGAAACTCCATCTCAAAAAAAACAAAACAAAAACTAAAACGTACCCTTTCAAATTTTTTTCTGAAATTAAACCTGAAAAGGTCAAAAAACACATAAATTACAGTCCATTTCAATTACTTACCATGTACAGGTATTGTCTAAGTCTATAGTAGTTCGGACTATAGTAGTTCAAAATACCTTACACAAGGCAGCTTATGAAAAACAGAAGTTTATTTCTCATAGTTCTGGAGGCTGGGAAGTCCGAGTTCAAGTTACTGGCAGATTCAGTGCCTGTTGAGGGACTGCTTTTGGTTCACAAATAGTGCCTTCTATCTGTCTCCTCATGTGGTAGAAGGGTGCCTTTTTTATTAGTACCTCTATTTATTTTATTTTATTTTCAAGAGACAGGGGTTTTACTGTGTTGCCCAGGCTAGCCTCAAACTCCGGGCTTGAGCAATCCTCCCACCTCAGCCTCCCAAGTAGTTGGGACTACAGGCACACATTAAAACACCTGGTTCCTATTAGTGCTTCTTTTTTTTATAAAGGCACTAATCTCTTCTATGGCACCATAGCCATCATGACCTAATTACCTCCCAAAGATCCCATCCCCTAATACCATCACATTGGTGATGAGGTTTCAGTATATGAATTTGGGGGACTGGGGACACAAACATTCACACCATAGTAGGTGTTACATTGATATGAGCTGGTAAATGTTAACACCTGGCAGCAATCAGCTATACAGCCATAGGTGAAGGCAGGTGATTAGAATTACCAGCCAACACATTTATGTGCTAGCTAATTTTTATTCAAAACTTTCTGAAGCTACAACCAAAGCAGTTAATGGGAAATGGAGTAGAGTAAAAACTAGGCAATCTCTCACTCTAGATAATGCTGTTAAAAGTAATTTTTCCTCCCAGTCCTCTCCTGTAATGAATAGTATAAGAAGGTATCCTCCAAACCTACTGGCACCTTGTGTTTCCAAAGTTTTAGTTGTCATGATAGTTAATTTTATGTCCCAACTTGACTGGGTTAAGGGATGCCCAAATAGGTAGGAAAACATTATTTCCCGGTGTATCTGTGAGGGTGTTTCTAAGATAAGATTAACATTTGAATGGGTAGACTGAGTAAAGCAGACTATCCTGCCCCATGTGGGTGGGCGTTATCTGAATGGTTGAAGGCCAAATTAGAACAAAAAAGCTGAGTAGAGAGGATTCCCTCTGCCTGACTGCCTTCGAACTGGGACAGTGGCTGTTTCCTGCCTTTGGACTTGAACTGAAACATCAGCTCTTCCTGAGTCTTGAGCCTCCTGGCTTTTGAACTGAAACAACAGTAATGGCTCTCCTGGTTGTCAGGCCTTTTGACTTGGGCTAGAACTACACCGTCAGTTCTCCTGGGTCTCCAGCTTGCCAACTGCAAATCTTGGGACTTGTCAGCCTCCAGCCTCCATAACTGCATGAACCAATTTTTTGTAATAAATCTCTTTCTATATGTCTATTTATTCTATTGGTTCTGTTTCTCTGGAGAACCCTAATGCCATAGGTAATTTAAAAAACAAAAAAACAAACAAAAAAAAACTCTTTCCTTCTCTGTTTTTCTCTTATACTTTTGTGGTGTAGTGATAGGCAAAATCACATAGGTGCTAATAAGTACTTTTCCAACAAGTACTTAACCTTGTTTAGGTGATAATCACTTGTCTTACCTTTGTATTCAGAAGAATTCCCAATTCCAACTTTCTTAGATATTTATTGAAGAGCAGGAGGAGGGCTGGGTGGAGGGAAGAAGAGATGGAATAGGATTTAGGATCATTGCAAAGACCGAGATAGTTGGGGAACGTAAAGGTTTTATGTGCCTTTCTTCTTCCTCCTCCCTCTGGCTCCCCATCATACACCCTCACATGCCCCGATGTGGCCTCTTACTAAACAGGGAGAGAAGAGAAGAGGTGGAGAAAACGAAGTATTTTGTGTTGGTAAGCCCAAGCAGCAGCATGCTGAGAAAAGAGGAGTTTTTATGGCCCTTGGCTACCCATCTGGAGTAAGTAGCTCTGTTTCCAAATGGCTATGTCTATGCCAATGTAAAAAGACATGGATAATGCAGATTATTGTGTAGACATTACTAATATTCAACAATATCTCATTTTCCTCTTCTTCCAGGCATACAGAAGACTATATTTATCAGCTGCCTTTGCAGGTGGGCAGGGTCATGTG